ATTCAGGACATTGTGTATCCGTGCGTGAGCTGCGAGTGAGAGAGAGTGAGTGAGAGAGTAACACTGTGTATGGGATTAGAAAACAACATTAAACACAAGCCAGTCTGATTGGATCAGATTACACTGATCCCATTTTTTAAAAATGCAATTCTTTCTTTCTTTTTCTTTGCTAACAATTACATTTTTCAAATATTTATTTAATTATGTAGCTTAAATAATTTTTTAAAGAAATTATGGGCAATAACAATAATGAAGTGTAACGTTTATTAATTTTAAAGTCGTTGTTTTTGCCCATTCCAGGTGCATTTTTTAAATATTGATTTATTCATTTCTTCCTGTTTAGACAACAGATAAGAACAAATCAGTAAAAATAAATAAATAAATAAAAAATTTGGATTTTTAAGAACATATTTTCAAGGAAGTTTACCTATTTTTTCAGGCCATGGATTAATGCAAATTTGGGGGTTTTATTTATGCAGATGACACTAAATATGTATGTTGTTAAAAGTGTTTTTGAAAACTTTGAAACTTGTTGGATGAACTTTTTAACCATTTTTCTGTTTTATAATTTTTGTTGTTTACACCTAAACTTGTTTTCCTGTCTTCTGGAAAACGGGTGAAACTATGAGGATATAATCTGTGTGTGTGTGTGTGTGTGTGTGTGTGTGTGTGTGTGACGTACAATGACAGGTGCGGGCGGTCACACAGCAGCTACAGTATCAGCTGCCGGAGAGGAAATACAAGCGGCTTTACAAGCTTAAAGCACTACACACACACACACACACACACACACACACACGGTGCAGTCACAGTCACTCCGCTGCACACAGTGGCGTGCTGCGAACATGTATGAGTTTAGTGTGTGTGTGTGTGTGTGTGTGTGTCAAAGGTACAGTTAAGACCTGTCAAATCTAACCTACGTCTGTCCTCACCTTGGACTTCCTGTACGTTATCCGTTGGCCGTCTTTGTTTCTGTCGTTGTATAATTGTCCTTCAAGATCATGACTTTGGTTTTAAATGAACTTAAAACGTTAAAAACTAACTATAAATCAATATATGTTAGCTAAGACATACAGCTGTTCTTGGAGCTCAACATAAAGACTAAAAACCAAAAGGTGACAAAACATTAGCTCCAAATGTACTTATAAGCAAATAAATGTAACATTAGCAAGCACGCTAGCCAGCAAAAAAAAATCTATATGTTTAATAATGCATCAGTATAGCAAAAAGTTGATTAAAATCCAGTTGGTTAGTTCACAAAAAAGTTTATTATTAGCTTACAACTAAAAAACGAACCTAGCCAAAAGACAACCATAACATTAGCTATAGGCTAAAATGGATGACATAAATTTAGCTAGCAGGTTAGCCCATGTATGGTGAAACTCACTGGACCGATAGCTTAACATTATCCCAAGCAAGAGGCTCAAAAATAGCTAACAAAACCGACTGAAGTTACATTAACACACAGTAGGTTAATCTGAGGGATTTCAGTTTTTAAGTAAAAATTATTAATTCAGTTACATCACTTTATTTCTGTATTAATAGATTGTTAATAAACTGGTAATCAACGCCGTCATCATTAACATTTGAACTCATACCAAGCCGTGTCACGACGGTGACATGTCTGTGTGAGGGAAGCATTTTAAAAGGTCTGTGGAAATAGATGTGTCTGGAATGTGTGACATCACAGATCCTATCTGACCGCCACGAAGTGTTAACAGGCAAAATAGAGCCGACAATGGACGAGGACATGTGTCCTGCCTCATCTGTCAATCACAAAACACCCCGTTGTTCTCCGACATTAAGTTTGATCTCTACAGATCAGAACTGAGTCTTTTATAGACGGTGAATGACTGGGGTTTTATATGAAACACACACACACACACACATGATGTTTAACAGGGGCTTTTCATAAGAATAAAACACATTAACGGATTCAAAGAAACTTAATATTACAAATCTAACCTGTCGGATCGGATCGGCACGATTCCTGCCTGGAATGCAGAAGGTTCCGGGTTTGATTCCACCTCTGCCACAGCTCTAAGGTTCAGTTACATCAGGAATGGGCTAAAAACTTTATTAGCCAAAACACTATGGCTCTGGTGACCTGAAAATGGAGGATTTGTGTTAGCATAGCTTTATCGTTTAGCTAGTTTTTAGCCACCAACTTCCCCTTCGATAGTTTCTTTTCTATGTTATATTGTTATATTCCTTTTTAACTCAAATATATACAGTATATATTTTTTATTTTTACCTAACATTCTGCTAACATTTTCCCTTTGTTTCCGACCACATTCAGCTAGCTTTAGCTACAATGTTACCCCCACAGCTGCCCTTACTGCCATTGAAATGATCTTGCTGATTGTTTTAAACATTCTGCCACATTTTCATGCTAACTTGTAGCTAGTAGTTTAAAGCATTTTGTTCAGGCTAACATTTTTGTTTACTGCTTGGCTAACAGTTAGCCTTTCCTCTCATTTGAGAGGCACATTGTTCTGAGATCTTAACAATAACTGACCATGAAACACACACACACACACACACACACACACTGGCACATACAGCACCACTGTTCTTTTTCAAACTGAATCATTTTACTGACAAACATATATAACAGCTCTTGAATAAATATTTACAGACGTGAGATGACATTCCTGCGACTCTGACGGAGGTAGAACATTCTGTAGAATCTTTTCCTCTGAAAAAAAAAACCAAAAAACCAACCTGGTGTCAACACACACACAGAAACACACACACACACATGTCCAGATTCCGTAACATCTACAGCACAGACGGACGTCCATACGTTTGACACGAGTTTGGGTGAACGACCAAACCAGACCCAGATAAATAAGGTTTATGTTACAGTGACAGTCAGTGCCTGGAAATTCAGACCGTCGTCCGACACAGTAGTAAAAAAAAAAAAAAAAAAAAAAAAAAAAAACCCCTTTCTTTGGGGAAAAA